GTATTTCACCAAAAGCACAAACTACCTATCATTTTTAAGACTTTAATAAATGATTACTTACAATGGAGTTTTTTTTTTCTTTAGCCGTACTTTCTGCAAAACGTTCTTTTTGTTGATGCTTTTGTAGTCACTTTTAGTAGAACATCTGATCCCAAAGACTACAAACAGTTGACATCCATTTTTTTACAGATTTTTTTTCTTCTTCAGTGTCTACACTAGTTTTCAAAACTGCTTTATGTTCTACATTTTTCTGGAAGCCTATTTCATCATAGACTAATGGGTAAAATCGATATACTTGTTAAAAAAAAAGTCCTCATTTTGTCATGCAGAAGTCTGATCATGCCTGGTGGGAATAGCTCTCTGTTATTTTGACTCATGAGTGTCACTTAGTTGTACATTCGCACTGTTTAATCACTTTAATCAGTTAATCAGCTTAATCGCTCTTTACATAAAAATCAGCCTACCAGCTTTAATAAACAATCTAGGCAGGAATCTTTTTTGAGTTTTATTAGAAGCTGTTCAAAGATTGGCAATTAAAATGCAATTGGCATATAAATACTTGGATATAGCTCCCTTAATGTAAGATAAGAAGAGTTGAAGCTGCTATAGCTGCAAATTGGGGGCCAGCTTTCTATTAAACCCTAAGGATTTAGATTGGGATGTCATTAAATTCATATGCATGTAAAGGAAGATTTCCTGTGTCTGTGCATGTGTGCATTATTACTCCATTGTCTGTTGAAATTCCTGATTCTGATTGGCTGTAAGTTGTGCAATAAAATGTACTTGTCCAAGCTTCTCTCTTAGAAAAAACATCAGTCTATAGCGATCAATGACTGGCTCCTGTACTAGTAGGAGGGGCTTCATTCACCATATTAGCACAAGCAGAGCGTGACGAGCGCGTGTTCTTGTTAACAGATTAAAGCTTATGAGCGGTAATATCCACTGATTTTCATATAGTCAATCAAATGGGTTTAAACAAATAAAAAATTCAACAATCATTTATCAACAAACTAACTATAAACTATATAAAACTAACTAACTAAAAAAATAGTATTAGTTTTGCTTAAGTTGCACACTAGTTTGATTATGTATAAATATTATAACTATAGGCCTACATTATGCTGACTTCGAAAAGAAAATGATATAAAATCAAAGGCGATTGTCTTCTGACCGAGTGCACCTTAAAAGACATGAATGACTCATAGAGTTTAAGAAGCAAACAGCTTTTTAGGATCTATATGATTTGTAAAATAAAGACATGCAGGTTAAGGAAACAGCATGGTAGGAAGTTGCCGCAGGCCTTAGTGCAGATGAAAAGTAGAAAAAAAAGTGTGATAGATATATAGATAGATAGATAGATAGATAGATAGATAGATAGATAGATAGATAGATAGATAGATAGATAGATAGATAGATAGATAGATAGATAGATAGATAGATAGATAGATAGATAGATAGATAGATAGATAGATAGATAGATAGATAGATAGATAGATAGATAGATAGATAGATAGATAGTTAGTTAGTTAGTTAGTTAGGGAACTAGGTAACTAGAAAGAATAGACAGAGATAGATGGATCTGTGCAGCAGCCGCCCATCTGTTGCATGCTGCTTCTGCTCTCCCTTAATGCTTCTCACGCTCTGCTCGCACATGTGGTGTGAAACAGGCATTACAATGAGGTATTAGATATGACCTAGTCATTTACACACATACACACAAAACCATCTTTCTCCTGCTTGCTCTTTCTGTCTGCCTAGGACTGATTCTAAATAGGCAGGCAAATTTGACAAAAATTATGTGGACTATGATTTGATGTGTTTTAAATCCTTCAAAGTTTGCATGAACCAGAAGCTGGAGATTTTATTTTATCCACTGGAGAAAACAGTGGGTGTGGCTTGTTTTTTTTACTTCAAGCTGATTGGATGTAGACATTTCAAATAAGGAAAATATATTACAACCTAACAGACACCTCCTTGCAATTTCTGTTAGTTGAAATAGCAGTGTCAAACCGACAGTTGGAGGGTTATGGTAATATGATGTAATCTGAAAATTTAAGTGAAAACAACCAAGGGCAAACTATTTTTCTCAATGACATGCACAGATGAATTGTTCACCACAAAACTAGCAATGTGAGCTAACAAAATCATATGGTTGGTTTGGATTTCATGTTTACTTTAAATGCACAACAATTCACTGATTATCCCTTACTTGAGTGTACTTGCCTATAATAATAATAATAATTATTATTATTATTATTATTATTATTATTATAGGCAAGTACACTGTAACACAGAGTATATTTGTTTCACATTTACAGTAATTGTTTCTCAGTGTCTCAAGACTAGCAGTGAACATCAAACAGGAAGACACATGGCTGTGTTGATATGGCTAAATTTCAAACTAGTCTCATATTTACTTTGGAAGGATGAGCTGTCCCAGGGATTACCTGCACGGCTTTGTGGGGCGCACAGAGGATGCTGGGAAAGAATGATGGAACATTTGTGCAAGCCACAGGTATCTTGCTCTATGTTTTGACAGTGAAGAAACTCCAGTCTCGCTGTGTGTTCTTGCTGCAGATGCATTAATGTTGACACTTCAAATTGTCCCTGGAGACGTCAGGCAAGGCTGTGATTGACAGTTCATCATGGGCCGGTGCCAGCTGTATATAATCCAGCAGATATTGTACTGCGCATCCATAGTGGCAGAGACCCAAAACTCGATTGCGTTTGCTGGAATCTAATGGAAGGGTGATATCTGGAATGAAATTGGGGTTGATGCCAGTTCAAATAAAGCAACTCTGGAAATCATTGGGCGGGGGGGAAAGTTGTCATTTCCAGTCAGAAATCCTGTATTGATGAGTTTACATGTAGGTTTGGGCCCAGAAAGACTCTTTCCACTACATTTTTTTGTAAATATTCACTGTAAAGAGTCTTTAAAAAATGTATCACTGGGTAATGATATTCTGTTTAGCTGCACTTGACCTTAACAAACTCTTCTGTAGACGCGTCTAACACTTGAGGGAATAATTCATGGCATGCATTAAATGCAGATAGAGCGTATTCTCATTTGGCTTTCGATTGTTGCTGTTATGAGTCAGCTCTAATGTGTGAAACCAGCCTTCGCTTTAAAACGCTTCAGAGAAGATAGGGTACACTAGATGTTCTGCTGCATGTGTTAGAAAATAAAGTGTGCTCACTGGAACTGTAAATATATTCAGCGGTGGCTCAGAATGAAATCAAGCTTATTACATTTTCTAAAAACATGAGCATCGCTGGAGGTTCCTCTTTTGTCTTTCCAGTGCTGTGCAACATCTGCTCTCAACTCGAAACCAATTAGAAAGTAGGCTCACAAGAATTTTAAAAGCGACACTGTTTACGAAGGATTTAATGCAATGGCTGTGTACTGTGCATACCAGGATGTCTTTTAAAATTTGATTAGTTGGGTAACACTTGCTTTTTTTGAATTATGAATTAGCAATTTATTCAGTTTAATAATTGATCCTTATTTTAAATGAAACAGAATATGTAACATGGAAAACGGCAGGGTGTTAACTCATATTAATCCATTACGATATGAATGCAGTTTTGAAAACTGGGTTACATTATCAGAATAAGAAAATAGCTATGTAGTCTTTGTGTGTGTCTCTGCACACTGTTAAAAATGATTGTGGCAATTATTATTGTGAGAATAAAAATTATCATTTGTATTTGTTTATATGACAAAACAGGTATTTTTCCCAGAGAAGGTCCATACTGACTCCAATGGCAGATACTGATAAGATAAAGGACTGGTGTGTGGACTTTGGGGGGTTTTCAATGTGGTAACATGTGGATTGGTCAATTTGTGTGTCTCAGTATTTGGGCTTTGCACTGCATTGTCAAAAAAAGATACAAAATAGTTGGTAAACTTTGCACTGGTTCTTTTCTTGTTCTCCTCTTTTCCTTTTTCCTGCTCTGCTCCTCTCCTGCTCTTGAGGCTCTACTGCTATCAGGCTCTCTTTGGGGCCTACTCTATTTGTCAGTCTCTCTCTCTCTCCCTCTCTCTCTCTCAACTTATATATACTATAATATAATATAAAATATATATATATAATATATATATTATTATTATTATTATTTTATTATTTTATTTTATTTATTTTTTTTAATCTGATTTGGGAACTCGAACCAAATTAGCAAGAGATCAGTTATCAAGATTAAAAGATCCAGGATCTGTCAAATTATCTTAGATCAATTAAGCAAGGTATGAAAAACGGACCCCTGGAGTACTTAAAATTCTGCGCTCCATCACAGGGATAGAATTTCAAAATGTATTAAAAATAGAAAACTCAATACAACTTCTGAATAGTGCTGTTTTTCTGTGTTTTGTTAAAAAATGCAGTCTCATTGATCATGAAAGTACTTGAAAGAATTTACTTTATCCTGGACTTCAGAATGGAAAAAGTATTTTTTATTTTTCTTTGAAAATACACGCACGCAAAAATCATTCACATTAAGACGAGGAGCCCTGAAAATTGCCGTTCTGATTTCACACTGCCTTTAAAGCATTATTTTAAGCCACAAAGCATCTTGCTGAGCTGAGGATAAGCTTACAGCAGCAGCAGCAGCAGGCTGACAAAAAGCTGAATATTCACGTCTCCCAGGACCTTTTCCCCAACAAGAGCCCTGAGCTGATTACACCCCCTTCTCCCCTTCATCCTGGTAATGAACACGAGCAAAGAGGCCCCTGAACTTCACCTCCTCCGTCTCCCCCATCTTAACGAGATCCTCTCCACACTTCCACCATGAGCCCTCAGCCTAATCTGTGGAGGCACTGAGGTATTATTAGAGCCGCTAGAGCCCTCGCTGGAGACGCCGGGCCTGGCAGATGAGACGGGCTGTAGGGAGGTGCACAGTTCCATTAAGATGGCATTCACCAAGGGCCTTTGTTATCATTGATCCTAACGCTTTCAGGGAGCAGTGAGACTTACTGATCCATGACCATCTCATCTGTCTTGCAGGGTTTGAGGGAACTCGCTGTGAAATTGATAGCGATGACTGTGTCTCAAGACCTTGTCAGAACCGCGGCATTTGTGTGGATGGGGTCAACAGCTACAGGTCTTTTTACCTTTAATTTCTCATTTTAGTTCTCTGTTGTGTTTGTTTGTTATGTAATGAAAGGTTTTGATCCACCTCAGATGATTTAACTACTGTTTACCGGCTGGAATGCCATTCGTGTCTGAATTTGGAAGGTCGGAGAGGTTTTAAATGACTTTCAGTTGGATGATTTTGAGATGGCAAAGTCAAATTTAAGCACATAAAATACAGTACATTTGCCCAACAGCAAAGTTGTAAGTACAGAAAATCCTGAATGGCTAGTTACTTTGGAAAACTACTAGCAACAGAGGCTGATTAGCAAAAAAAAAAAGTTAATGTCAAGCCGTCTATGTGTGTGCTTATACACAAAATATATGGTGTACACACCACTTCTTAAAAGCTGTATACATATGTGATGTGTTCATTGTCTGGGCTCAGCAACATCCAAAACAATATATAATGTGTTACTGTATATACACTCATCGGCCACTTTATTAGGTACACTTCAATAGTATCGTGTTGGACACCCCTTTTGCCTTCAGAACTAACTTAATCCTTTGTGGCATAGATCCAACAAGGTACTAGAAATGTTCTTCAGATATTCTATTGGATTGAGATCTGGTGACTGTGGGGGGCCATTTGAGTACAGTGAACTCATTGTCATGTTTATGACACCAGTCTGAGATGATTTGCGCTTTATGACATGATGTGTTATCCTGCTGGCATTAGCCATCAGATAGTTGGCACACTGTGGTCAGAAAGGGATGGACATGGTCAGCAACAATACTCGGGTAGGTTTTGGTGTTGATATTATGCTCAACTGGAACTAATGGGCCCAAAGTGTGCCAAGACAATATCCCCCACACCATACTTTCATGTTGTTGACAACAAATTCTGACCCTACCATCCGAATGTCCAGCAGAAATCTGTTTGAAAATCAAAAAATCAAGACTCAGACCTGGCAACGTTTTTCCAATCTTCTGTTGTCCAATTTTAGTGAGTGACACTTGGTGTGGTCCGCTGCTGCTGTAGCCCATCTGCGTCAAGTTTCAACATGTTGTGGGTTCAGAGATGCTTTTCTGCATATCTCGGTTGTAACAAGTGGTTATTTGAGTTAATGTTGCCTTTCTTTCAGCTCGAACCAGTCTGATAGAGATCTGATAGAGATCTCCTTTGAGATCTGGCATCAGCAAGGCATTTGCGCCCACAGAACTGCTGCTCACTGGATATTTTCTCTTTTTTATTATCTGTAAACCCTAATGGTTGTGCATGAAAATCCCAGTAGATCAGCAGTTTCTGAAATACTCAGACCAGCCCATCTGGCACCAACAACCATGCCATGTTCAAAGTCACTTAAATCAGTGGTCCCCAACCACCGGGCCTCGGAACGGTACCGGTCCATAGAACAATTAGTACTGGACCACATAAGAAATCATAAATTATTTCTGTAGAAAATATTCCCCCCACGACTTGGTTTCTTCCACTCACCCCCGCCATCTCACGTGAAATGGACTATGCCAAAATCCATCACAGAGTGGGAAGAATGATCGCTAGAGTATCTCTGTGGTTTAAAGTTATAAAACAGGCATTGTAGAGTCCAAATCAGCAAAGCATTGCAGGATTGTGCATATATGTGTACGTGCATCACTAAGTACCCACCCAAAATCATTGCAATATGTATCTATATGGAGTTTCACATAATCATACTCATTAGGGCTGTAACATGGCAATGCATATTTTTAATTCGGCTATATGGTTGTATTATTGTTAATATGTTCATCAGTAGAGATGTTTGGCACAGATGTTATGTGTTTGATGCATATAAACCTTGATTGAAACATAATCAGACCGCGATAGTGCAACAAGTGCATGCGCACTGAGTTGTTCAAGATAACCCTGGATGCACGAGCGCAGCAGCTGTGTTCACGTGAAGACCCCCCAACTACGGCCCACACCGGTCCGTTGTAAAATTGACAACCGTTGACCGGTCCGCAGTGATAAAAAGGTTGGGGACCACTGACTTAAATCACCTTTCCTCCCCATTCTGATGCTCGGTTTGAACTGCAGCAGATCGTCTTGACCATGTCTACATGCGTAAATGCATTGCTACCATGTGATTGGCTGATTAGAAATTTGCGTTAAGAGCAACTGTACAGCTGTACCTAATAAAGTGGCCGGTGAGTGTATATTGTTTGTTGTGCAGCAGGTTGTTTGACCCTTTAGAGTAGTTCGGCTTTAAACAGGCAGTTTACTCAAAAATGGAAACTCCGGTGTCATTTAGTCATTCTAAAGCCATATGGTGATAT